TCTATGCCTTCATATTGATAGCATCATGTACAAATTGTCTGATAGCTCATAGAATAGCCTTTCTTGATGTGAAAGACAATTTGTACATGATGTCAAAAGTAAATGCTGCAGCAAAGGCAATATGTAAAATCATGTCAATCCTTTAACCTCATCCCCATAACCTATACAGAGTCAAGGACACTATAAACTATATGTCAACTACAAACTTTTGTAGCCTCAAAAAGCAGACACTACAAATTTTTCTAATGAAAAAGCGGACACTACAAACTTTTGTAGTCTGAAAAGCGGACACTACAAACTTTTCTAATGAAAAGGCACACACTACAAACTTTTGTAGTCTAAAAAAGCGGACACTATAAACTTTTCTAATGAAAAAGCGGACACTACAAAACCTTTTAATGTAACCCTAATTTTGTACTCTAAGTCCAAGCTTTTGTAGTCTAAGTCTGACTTTTGTAGTCTTTTGTAGTCTATCAGTAAACTTTGTAGCCTATGTCCAACTTTTTTGTAGTCTATCAGTAAACTTGGTAGTCTATATCTGACTCTTGTAGTCTGTCAGTGTTGATTGCTCTTTTAGGGAATGCACCTTCCTTTTTGGTCAAATTTCCCACAATATGATATTTGTTGCCCTTTCATCTAGCTTTCTAAATGTGTTGGAATCATGTTATTTGGTTTTGTTTTCATGAAGAAAAATGCAAAAAACCAAAAAAAACACGACGCTTTTGGAATTCCTTTACCTCATATCTCCACAACAGAAGCACTTCAGAACATAATTCAACCAGATTCGGGAAGCTACAGTGCAGGGGTACAACTTTCGCTTTTTGACTATTTTTGGTAATTGGTCATGTGACCACCCTCCCAACAACCCATGTGATACATATCATCATTATTATATAGTTTTCGGTAATGAAAGTGCCAAAGGGCCTAATGAAATATCCTAATGAAAAATCTAAGAAATAGTAATGAAAGTGCCAGGGAGCCTAATGAGAAGTGATGAAATCATCAAGGTGCTCAATGAAATATCCTAAAAGAAATGGTAATGAAAGGGCCAGATGCCCCAATGAAATCTCCCAATGAAAAATCTAATGAAATGGTCAAGGAGTGTAATGAAATATCCTAATGAAAGCGCCAAGAAGCATTCTAATGAAAATTCAATGAAAAGGTAATGAAAGGGTCAAGGAGCTGAATGAAATATCCCAATGAAAATTCCAAGAAAATCTAATGAAAGTGCCAAGGAGCCTAATGAAATATCCTAATGAGAAATATAAAAAATCGTAATGAAAAAGCGTAGGAGCCTAATGAAATATCCTAATGAAAATTCTATGAAATGGTAATGAAAAAGCACAGGAGCCTAATGAAATATCCTAATGAAAATTCTAAGAAATGATAATGAAAAAGCGCAGGAGCCCAATGAAAATTCTAAGAAATGATAATGAAAAAGCGCAGGAGCCTAATGAAATATCCTAATGAGAATTCTAAGAAATGGTAATGAAAAAGCGAAGCAGCCTAATGAAATATCCTAATGAAAATTCTAAGAAATGATAATGAAAAAGCGCAGGAGCCTAATGAAATATCCTAATGAGAATTCTACGAAATGGTAATGAAAAAGCGAAGCAGCCTAATGAAATATCCTAATGAAAATTCTAAGAAATGATAATAAAAAAGCGCAGGAGCCTAATGAAATATCCTAATGAGAATTCTAAGAAATGGTAATGAAAAAGCCAGGAGCCTAATGAAATATCCTAATGAAAATTCTAAGAAATGATAATGAAAAAGCGCAGGAGCCTAATGAAATATCCTAATGAGAATTCTAAGAAATGGTAATGAAAAAGCGAAGCAGCCTAATGAAATATCCTAATGAAAATTCTAAGAAATGATAATGAAAAGCGCAGGAGCCTAATGAAATATCCTAATGAGAATTCTAAGAAATGGTAATGAAAAAGCGCAGGAGCCTAATGAAATATCCTAATGAAAATTCCTAATAAAAATTCTATGAAATGGTAATGAAAAAGCGCAGGAGCCTAATGAAATATCCTAATGAAAAGTCTCAGAAATGATAATGAAAGGGCCAAAGAGCCTAATGAAATATCCCCATGATATCTCATTATCCTTGTCTATAACTTATGAAAGATTCCAGTGATAAATTGAATGAAATAGATGGGCAATCCTAATGAGATGCCTTTCATAAAACCTGTGGCATTATACACAATGGCTCTTGGACAGTTGTCATAGATTAATCATAAAAGTGGTAGCCACCAGTCGCTTTGCATCTCAACGAAATGAAGATTAGCGAAGTCGAACGCAACGCGGTCTTCAAAGGGAGCCCAAGAAAAATTGTCGTCAGCATCATTCTGGGGATGCAGTGCAGGTGGTAGAGCATGGGGTGGAAGTTGAACCCCATTTTCATCGCACGGCAAAGCTGGAAGGCAGTCAGTATGGGATTCCCACTAAAGTAATGTCCTTACCAGTCAAAAGGGGGTACCGGAAATATGTGTAAGAAGTATCGTGTTCAGTTTCATCGTCAGAGGGTGGCGTGATATTCCGATGATGTGTGTTGCGATGCTGTGTCAGACCGCTTGGGTTGTGGAATGTTCGAATACAGTCACTGCATGAGTAGGAAGGCATTTGATGCTGAAGGAAGGAAGAGCGATGGGCAAGAGGGGGGGAGGGAAAAGAATCGATTGATGTAGCGACGTATAGGAGAGAAGAATCAACAAAAAAAAGTGGCTCCACTTGCTCAGGAGTCAGGAGCTGGTGACCAAAACACGTGGATGTGCATATGAAACTTGCGCTGAGGTATGTCCCCATTTTCCCCTTGATATTTTCCCCTTGACCACCACCACATTCGTTACTTTCCGTCACTTCCCATGCAAAGACGTTCCCATACCGCGAAAGCAGCAAACCAGGCCAACATCGACACAGCCAATGCCGAGCATACCAAGCGATCTCGTGAAGATGGGTTTGAGGATGAGCCCACTCTCAACGTTTCCGCACTGAAAAAAGCCAAAGTGTCCAGTACAGGACGAGATGTTCCACCCGAACTTGCTGATACATCCATAGGTGTCAGTCCTGCAGTCCCCAAATGCAAACCTAAGGTGGCTCCTCGTGACCCACTTCCAGATCGCCTGAACCGCGTTGTCAACCCAGGGGCAATCAACAAACCACGCCCAAAGCGAAGTTCCAAGCAGGTGGCAGAAGACGAAGCTCGGAAGGAGCAGAGGAGGTTACGGCTGGCAGAGATCGAACGAGAGAAGCTGGAGATCGCCGCCCAAATGGAATTGGACGAGGAGGAAGAGGCAGCACAAGAGCGACGCGTCTCAATCGCCTGCTTGGCTGACCGCTCCAGGTTGTATGATGAAGACCCTATCAACAACGATGAGGAATTCTTCCCCGTTGAAGATTTCTCTGTGGAGGACGTACCCATTGACATCGACGACGAGCTTCTCACAGACGTTGTCGAGCAAGACACTGCCAAATCATCTGCGAAATCAATCAAAGTCAGTTCCTTGTGTGACAATCTTTCAAAACTTACCTGATATTAGGTCCCAAAGAACAAGAAAGCGAAAGGCGACACACGAGCGGCACTGGATGCGCTCAAAGATAAGAAGAAGGCAGTCTCCGCTTTGGTAAAGACAAGGTGAGTTTGCCTTTCAAGTTGCTTATCAATGCTCATCATGTGACGATCAACAGTGAAGGAACACGCAAACTTGCAGGCTTGGTTCCAGGTTGGCAGACCAAGCCCTCCGTTCTCGCCTCAGCCAAAGGCCCCCGCTTGAAGACCGCATCCCACTCAAAGCCGACGACGAAAGAAGATTCCGATGTGAATGCTTTTGACTTTGGAGGTCTGGGCGATGATGACGCCGATGCGGTGCAGCCGTCTCTGGCTCATGTGAAAGGGGGACGGGGTGTACGGACAAATGATGTGTGCTTTCATTTTATCTTTTTCAGTGCTTACTCTGACTTCATCTCAGCTACTTAATGTCACGGCTCCTAAGGACTATGCGACCCCTTCGAAGCCAGCTCAGCAAATGTCGAAGGCCCCAAAATCCACGAAACCCTCCACCACTCGTACTAATCTCGTGAAGCGTGAATCTAGCCCTGGGCCCTTGGACGTTGCTCATTCATCACCAATACTCGTTTCGTCTGATTCCCTGAAGGAACTTCCACACTTTGTCCAAGCTGAGTGGACCACTCGCTTCCTTCCCACTCTCTATCACTGCCTCTTCGCATCAGACGACCCCTTTGGTCCATTTTCAAAGGGCCCCAATCTCGTCAATACCATTCAAAACGTTCTGAATCTCCTATACCCTGGTAATAACTACAAAGTTATGTGTGGCAGCAAGCTCTGCCAATTGGTAAGTTCTTATGTCTTCGGAATAGATGTCCCACTAATTATTTGACCTCAGGCCTACGATCAACTTTGCGACAAGTGCTCAATCATCGGCAGGAACAGCCTCAAGGTTATCAAGGCATTCTTTGCACAAGCGGAGTACGACCGTAACCCCACAGCGATTGGCCGGTACATCAGGTGGGCAACTAGGGAAGATGGGCCGGCGTTGTGGGAAGTACCATCATTTCTGCAGTACACCGAGGACGATCCCGGGTATATGGTAAGTAAGCTTGTTATGACTGTCATAACCCGCTGACTTCTGTTAGCCTCCACGAGGATTATTCCAATCCCAGTTCATTATCGATGTCGCCACCCCCTTCCTTCAATATCTTAACGCATCGCTCGGCAATTTTGGTCGCCCAAAGGCACTTTTTGCACTCACAGCAGCAGCAGTACGTGAATTGACTATTACATTTGTCTAACATCTAATAACTCTTTGTAGGTCGAATGCGCATTCTTATCATTTTCAACGGGGGTATTTGTCAAGCCGTCAGGGGATTTCTCACAAGAACACGTTGGCCACCTCGTCGCTGACTACATGGCAAACTTCGAGTTGTTTAGCGAGCGCCGTTGGTCCGAGCTGATGGCCGCCTGTGGTTTCGCGATTGAGTCTCAAAAGGTCAAAAAGGTTAACCCTGGCGCGTCTTCCCTCCAGAAGCGCCGTCGAGTTCTTTACATCCCAAGCAGCCTGCCCCCTGAAGACAATTAATATGGATATTTGGATGTTTCCCTGCCTCTCTCACACACTCTTTAATCAACATTAGCTCTTCATAACCCCTCATTTCACTAGATACCCATTATCACAGCACACATTCACTCATTAATATCGGAATATTTACTACTTTTGCTATACAATGACATATAACTATTCTTTTATTCTAAATGTTTTAAAATGTTTAATATTGGGTTACTTGTCTTGACTTGCCGGCTTGTTACAGCTTGTGAGGCAACTTTTCAACGGAACTTGTGAGTTTTTTGGATCTACTTGTCAGCTGGTCACTTGTGGCTCGTTTAGACTCATTTGGACTTGTACAAGTCAAAACAAGTCCAAACAAGTCGTGACAAGCGGAGTGTAGAAATACTGATGGGGGTTTCTTACCCTCCAACCCCTGAGATACCCTTACCCTTACCCTCCAAAACCCTTGACCCCAGCCAAGGGTCAAGGGTTTTGGAGGGTAAGGGTCAGGGTCAGCCTGAGTTGACCCCAGGGTTACCCCTGCACATCACACATTCAGTGAAGTAATTGATGTCCCCTTCCAATGACAAACAATCAGAAACCATGGCCCTCATAGTACCCACCAAAATCATAAGGATGAGGATATCCTCAATATTGGGGGTGGCCACCACGCCCCCTTCCACCAAAGCCAGATGGCCTGTATTGTTGTGGGTGTTGGCCAAGAAGCTGATTATTTGTGAATTGAGGGGGAAGTCAGAGGTGTTGGTTGTCCATCTGAACTGGATGGTGATAGTCTTCCATATATGTGTTGTGTTCCTCTTCATTGTGCATGTTGACGTCGTTATAGTAATGGGCCTGAGGGGCTCTGAACTGAAAGCCCCCCACGTGGTCTGAGGCAGCCTCATCTTGGGTGCTCAGTCGCTGCAAAGTGCCACAGGGTTTATGCACTGGCTCTGAGCTACTGTTGTTCTGTTCAGGCCGTGGGTGCTGAGGCCTGGTATGTGGATTCATGGTTCATGAGGCCTCTGGGTCACTGTCCTCAGGTGCACAGACCTGATGCTGGTATGCGACACAGAGGTCTTGTGCTTTCTGTTGGTGAGAACCTGCACCTAAAACCTCTGAGCGACTTTCATTGCATGGACCAAGAGCATGTGACATACCATGGTAATTGTGTGCTTGCTGTTGAACCGAACCTGCTGCTTCATTTGACGTATCCTTGCAGCACACTTGCTTAGCAGGAGGGGAGGCTGTCAGGGAGTTCACCGCAGAGCGAGTCCCGTCAGCCATTTCTTCATCAGAAGGGTGATCCTCTATGTTGTATACCATTTTTGATTGAGGTTTGGGCTCACATGGCTGCTGTGGAAACGGATCTGCCAATTGGTTGATGTTCCCCAACGGCAAACAAGCTTTGTCGGTACTGGAGGTCAAGAGTCGTTGGCACTATCATTGTCTGAAGGGGGGTCCTCAACATATATCACTTTGGGTTGAGGTTTGGGCTCCTCACATAACTTGCATTTCTGAGCATTGGATTGAGTGGATTTGGTTGTCTTCTTCTTGGTAACTTTCAATGTGTTCTTGTTGATCGCCTGACTGCGAGCTCTCGCTTGAAGGAGAGGTGCCACATCCAGCCCACCATCTTTTTGTTGCACAGCATTGTGGACTTTGGGCTGACAGTTTTTGATGCAGGCCAAGACCTTCACCTCCCCCGACTCCATAACTCCCATGATGATAGGTATCTCCAGCCATTCTTCACTCCCTTCATCCAGAGACTTATGATCTAGAGCCATTCTATCAGATGATGTTGTGTGATGTAAGTGGAACTTACTGTCAGACCATGCCACAATACAAGGAGCCAAAGCCTTCAACTCATCATCCTTGCTCATCAAGTACGTGAACATAACAGTGATTCCAGGTGAACTGATATCGCTGATGGACCAGCCTTTCACACCAGGGAAAGGCTCCTTGCAGGGCCATCGCTTGAGGACCATTTCCACATCATGGCAATGGGTCAAAAAATTTGCCCACACCGAAGAGCCTGCTGCTACCTCTGGTGCTGCCCATTCCACTTCACCCCAGTGAGCCTCCAGCCAAACCATGGAACAGAAGACGACATACCCATTTGGAACTTCAACAGCTGGGGGACACATCTTCGAGTGCAATCTCTTGATATTTCTGTGTGGCAGCACTCCCAATATGCTGCAGGCGTGGCGGTCATTGGAAGGTTAAGATCGAGGTCAATGGGGTTGGCTACAACTTTCACAATCTTAGAAGCTTTTGTCAATGGTTTTGACAGTTTTTTCAGTCTGCCTGGCATAGTGGGGGACTTTGGTAACAACACTTCATCAATTTGCAGAATGTTGGCAACATCCTGACCCAGCAACTGTGCCAAGTTTACAGACTTCGGTGTGATCATCTTTGAATCCATTCCCCTTCAACGTTAATGTCAATAAATATAATTTTTAAGCAAGTCAAGGTCAGAACTTACTTAAGGAGTGTTGTTAAATGATGAAGCATCTGTTTGATATCTGCTTGACAGTGCTGAATGACACCCTGAAGATGTGCATTCCCTGTAAGGACTGTCATGGCTTGGTTGGTGACAGGATCCTGTGGAATGATGATCCCAATCATGTCGACATCGGCACATCCCAGGGCCATTGCCTAAAAATCAGGAATCATTAGAAAGCAGCTCAAGAAAAAAGGCTGAAGACTTACCAAGTCTTGAACTTGCTTCAGTGCTGTTTTTGTTATCTTAAATTCTTGCCTGTCCATCTCAGGCCTGAGCTCAGCTAACTCAGCCCCCATCTCCTCCACAAATTTATCCATCTGTTCCGGTGACAACTTCTCCACAATATTGTTGTACATGGCAGCAGCCTGAGTAACCCATGACCCTTCACCTGAATACAACATCAGACCTCAAGATGAACAATGAGTCTATGTGCTTACTTTTTCTTGGATTGTAAGGCTGGTAACACAGGTACATTTGCCATATGTCCCAACACGACACTTCCCAAGAAAGGGACACATTGAACCCTCCTTTACACAGCACAGACTCAGGTGTGCAACCCATGTTCTTACAATGCACGACAATGGTATCCGCGAGTTCCATCGCCAGTTGAGTCTCATGAGCTGTGAATGGGCCACACTTCATTGATTCTGCTGGATCATCTTGCCTTTTCCCCAAAGCCTTTGTGCTCGTGACAGGGTGTGCAGTGGGCACTTCGGAAGGACATTCCTCATCCACATCTGAACCCTCACCCTCTGCCGAAGGCCTTTGCACTGGTGGGTTGCTCATGGCTAGCTGATGTAGTTTTTGTGCAAAGTTATCACTTGGGTCTGAGCCCCCATTGTCTTTGGAAGGATGGTCCTCATCCACATCTGAACCTTCACCTTCTGCTGAAGGCCTTTGTGCTGGTAGCTTGCTCTTGACAAGCTGACGAAGTTTTTGCACAAAGTTCTCACTTGGGGTTGAGCCCCTATTGTCCTTTGACTTCCTTGCAACATGTTTACGTTGTTGACCCCATGAAACCTGGTCCTCTCCCAATTTATTGCTGCAAGTGGCACTTGAATGCCCCTTCTAACCCTTTTTCTTACTCATTCAATGCCTGTCCTGCTCATCCTCTTCCTCCATCCTCCTCTCATCATCCTCCTCCTCTTCTGCAGTATCCATCTCATCATGGCTCTGTCTGTTCTTGCGAGCCCATTCACATTGACGCGCCTTCACCTCCTCGGTTTCACTGAAGTCGCTACCTGACCTGCAAGAACTCGATCTATAGCCCTTTTCGCCATCTTGTTCTGCTTTGGGCATTGACTCTGCTTGGTTGTCATCCTCCTTGGGCCACCTGACTCTTTCTCCCTGCCTGACTCTACTTCAACAGCTTCCTGCCCAGACTCCTTTGCACAGGCAGGAGCTCTTTACTCTCCCCCACCTATTCCTACTGGACTCCTACTGGATTCCCGGAATCCTACCGGACTGGACTAGGACTGGGACACATTTTATGTTGGCTGATCACCATACAAATTTTGTATCCTAGTCCTAGTGGAGTCCTAGTAAATTCCTACCGAGGAGTCCAGTAGGAGTCCAGTAGGAGTCCAGTAGGAGTCCAGTAGGAATTTCCGGGGACAGGGAGCCCAGTAGGACCAGCAGTTTGTCACTGTTGTTGTTATTATATAATATTAAAAAAAGCGCAACCTGACAGAATTGAACTCTCAACCTTATGGACATAGGGACAATACTATAGAGACAAGCACTTTACCAGTTACACTAGGAAAGCATTACTATAGGTCATTATTATATGCTCTATATACCAACGTACTGACCTCCTTCCTAGAAAGGACGTCGGCGAATTCCGCGAGTGGGAATTTTGCCCAAACCCAACAACACTCGACAACACCACCATCACCACCCTCTTGCTCACCCACCATGAACACGTCGCCCACCACGACCACAACGGACGACGACAACACGCGACCACGACAACACGCGACCACGACAACCACAACGGCCACGACAGACGACGACAACAAACGACGACAACAAACGACCACGGCACGCAACGACGACCACACTCACGGACAAGACAACCACCCACGAACCACGAGCGCCCGCCGACACGACAAACAAGAAAGACGAGGGACAGCAACGACCCGCTCCCACCCGCCAACGACGACCGTAACACCCACCACCACAAACGACGCCCGCCACCCACAAAAACGACAACCGCTGCCCACAAAAAACGCCCAGCGCCCATGAACGACAGCCGCCGCCCATGCAAACGACAACCGCCGCCCACGAAAAGCACGCAGCACACCCAAACGACATCCGCCGCCCACAAAAAACGCCTAGCGCCCACAAACGACGTCCGCCGCCCACAAAAAACACCCAGCAAACCCAAACGACGACCGCCGCCCATGAAAAATGCCCACCGCCCACAAACGACATCCGCCGCCCTCGAAAAACACCCCACCTATGTGTGCAATTGACACGGTGCCCACGAAACGACGACTCAGTGTATCTCTCCTCCCTGTCTCCTTCTCTCTGTTCCCCTCTCTCCCTCCCTCTCTCCCTCCCTCTCTCCCTCCCTCTCTCTCTCCCACCATCCTTCTCTCCCTCCCTCTCTTCCTCCCTCCCTCTCTTCCTCCCTCCCTCTCTTCCTCCCTCCCTCTCTTCCTCCCTCCCTCCCTCCCTCCCTCCCTCCCTCCCTCTCTCTCTCCCACCATCCTTCTCTCCCTCCCTCTCTTCCTCCCTCCCTCCCTCTCTTCCTCCCTCCCTCCCTCTCT